GCAGGGACTTCCCCCTTCTGAGTAAATTCTTGTCTCCACCCCCTACCCACCTCTCCTTTTAGAGAATACAGACCCAGGTATCATTTTGTGGTGCTAAATAATTTGTATGGAATTTGTTAATGTTAACAAGAAAAGAAGAAAAATAAATCCCCTGCAGCCAGCAGCAATAGATCCCACAGCAACAATAGATTCCTCCAGCAACAACGGACCCCCAAAACAAAATACCAACCCAGCAACAATATACCCTCAGCAGCTACAACAAATCTCCAGCAGCCAGCATCAATAGACTTTACTGCAGAAATTGAAAATAGACCCCTCCCTCTACAGTTTATCCCTTTAAGAAACAATTGACCCCCACAAACAATAGATCCCCCACCAGCAACAACAGCCCTCCCCAGCAACAATAGACCACCACACAAACACAGTGACAATAGATCCCCCAGCATCCAGCAACAATAGATCACCCAGCATACCCCGTAGGGGGGGTACTTCTTGCCATTACATATATTCAGTGCTGGAGGTGCCGAAACTGTGTTTCCCCTCGTTCCCCCTGAAAAAAATCCCTGCATGTTCTACCCGTTTTTAGGGTTGAACATGTAACATTTTCCAACTCCCAGTGCCACTGCCTGCTCCGCTGTATCCAGTGACAGCTAGTGGGGGACCATCTTCCTCTGATGACTGTCACTAATTTTTATTGTTAAAAGTGGCTGTGCAGGGCTGTGCTGGCCTGGCCACGTCCTTCAATCACAGAATTCTGTGAATGGAAAACAAAAAGTCCCGACAACCTTTTTTGTGATTTTTTTTTTTTTTGTAATTTATGCCAAGTAGACATGCTTTTTTTTGTATGCGTTTTTTGTATATATTATTATTTAAATTTTGAATATTAACAAATGTGGCCTCTTAGCCCATATCTTCTTGGGATATTTACTCGTTTTTATCTGTGTTTGTGTATGTTATTTAATTTTTCATTTTACTTTTCATTTATAATTTTTTCATAATTTTTATCCATTATTCTTTTTCTCTTTTCTTTGTTTCTCTTTTTATTCCACTTCGCTTTCTTTTTTCTTTTCTTCCATCCTTGTTATTTTATGATATCCCTGTTTTTTTGATACAATGGTTTTATATGTCTTGTTACAATGTATTAGTAGGCGTATCCTCAGGATTCAGGAGTGCTGATTAGGACAGGTGTTCTTTATTAACAAATGCCTATATAAGACAGAACTTTTGTTTTCTTTGTTATGATTAAGCACAAGATCATGTGAAATGCGTTAACAGGTCCTGTATTCATGTCCTGGTGTTTTGTGTGTCCTATGGATTAATAAATACACACTATATTCATCCATCCTCCGGTGTGTGGCTGACCCTTCTTCCCATTGCATCGTGTGGTGACGAGCCAGAGCCTGCACCTGTCGTGGATTGATCTGGATTGTTTGCCTGAGTGGTGTACCTCTGTTCTTCTGACAGCCTTTGCTGCTGTCAGCTTGTGGTTTTCTCAATGATCTACCAGGGCACTGTTGAGCGCTGTGTTAGTTCATTGTCTTTTCCTGTCAGTGTATACAGTATCTGCCTGCCAGTATGATACAAAAGCAGACAGATACACTGACAAGTCTGCAGGAGTTCTGCATGGCACCTGTGAGCTGCTTTCTAGGATCCAAGTAAAAAAAAAATAATAAACGCACATTTGTTTACCTGCAAAAAGTTGTGCATTTATTTATTTATTTTTAAAAAGGTGACCTTCTCTTTTTAAGGGGAACTAAACTCCGCAAATAGTCACCTCCTCCCCAACGATCCAACATCTATGAGTCCCCTCGCTGGTGCCAGCATCTTCTCCTTAGGTTCTTCCAGGTGCTGAGACTTCAGTTGACCGCTGTGGGATGATGTAACTCCTGAACATACGCAAGAGTTCTTTCATCAGCACACAGACACCATCCTGAGAATGTACCGTGAGCTGCGCATATGAAACTCAGTGTACATTGTAAAGAGGACTGCAAGTAGGCAGGTACGTTTATTTTATTTTTAGAAGAGACATCTAGGAGTTGATTTACTAAAGGCAAATAGACTGTGCACTTTGCAAGTGCAGTCGCATTAATTTTTCTTAGTAAATGTAAAGATGGTAAAGCTGCACTTTGTAAAGAATACCCTATCAGGTGCAAGGAAAATGTTAAAAAATAAACAAATAAAAAAGCATATTTGCTTGCACATGATTGGATGATGGAAATCAGCATAGCTTTACGACATTTACTAAGCTCTGGGGAAAATGAGTGCAACCGCACTTGCAAAGTGCACAGTCTACAGTTGTGACCAAAATTATTCAACCCCCAATGCTGTAAAGGGGTTTAGGGACTATAGTGTACATTTGGAATTGTATTCAGAATCAAATCCTACAAGGACGTTGTAACTACCCAAATGCAACTAAAATGACATCAATTGTTTATGTAATACAGTAGTAAATGGTTCTTATGTGGTTTCTTCATTGCCACAATTATTCAACCCCTTAAAGACTACCACTCTGAAGAACAGAGGTTCATACAGGTGCTTTCCATCAGGTATTGAAAACACCTGTGGATGTCACCGAGCAGCAATCAAGCATAATAAGCACCAATTAGGCAGCTTTAAAATGACTGTGATACTCAGCTCCTTCTAGACATTTACTGGTGTGGTTACAAACATGGTGAAGGCAAGAGAATGGTCCAGGAAGACAAGAGAAGAGGTGATTTCTCTTCACAGGAAGGGCAATGGCTATAAGAAGATTGCAAAGATGTTAAACATACCAAGAGACACCTTAGGAAGCATCATTCGCAAATTCAAGGCAAAGGGCACTGTTGAAACGCTACCTGGTCGTGGCAGAAAGAAGATGCTGACTTCGACTGCTGTGCGCTACCTGAAGCGTAGAGTGGAGAGAAGTCCCCGTGTGACTGCTGAGGAACTGAGAAAAGATTTGTCAGATGTGGGTACAGAAGTTTCAGCCCAGACAATAAGACGCACACTGCGTAATGAAGGCCTCCGTGCCAGAACTCCCAGGCGTACCCCCTTGCTGTCTCCAAAGAATAAGAAGAGTCGACTGCAGTATGCCAAAAGCCATGTGGACAAACCACAAAAGTTGTGGGATAGTGTTCTGTGGACTGATGAAACAAAATTAGAACTGTTTGGGCCCATGGATCAACGCTATGTTTGGAGGAGGAAGAACAAGGCCTATGATGAAAAGAACACCTTGCCTACTGTGAAGCATGGTGGAGGGTCAATCATGCTTTGGGGCTGTTTTGCTTCTGCAGGTACAGGGAAGCTTCAGCGTGTGCAAGGTACCATGAATTCTCTTCAGTACCAGGAGATATTGGATGGAAACGTGATGCAGTCCGTCACACACCTGAGGCTTGGGAGACGTTGGACCTTTCAACAGGACAATGATCCCAAGCATACCTCCAAGTCCACTAGAGCATGGTTGCAGAGGAAAGGCTGGAACATTTTGGAGTGGCCATCGCAGTCACCAGACTTAAATCCGATTGAGAACCTCTGGTGGGACTTAAAGAAAGCAGTTGCAGTGCGCAAGCCTAAGAATGTGACTGAACTGGAGGCCTTTGCCCATGAAGAATGGGCGAAGATACCCGTAGATCGCTGCAAGACACTTGTGTCAAGCTATGCTTCACGTTTAAAAGCTGTTATAACTGTAAAAGGATGCTGTACTAAGTACTAAGATTGAATGTCACTTGGGGGTTGAATAAAACTGATAATGCTGTGAGCACAGAAAAGACATTTGTGGTTATTTCATTATAACTGTTATGTTATATTTGTCTGACCTACAAGTGCCTCTTTAATGTAAATGTAAGCAAGATGACTGAATGATCAAAAGCAATGTCAAACTGGCCAAAACACTCAATTTCAGTGGGGGTTGAATAATTTTGGTCACAACTGTATTTGCCTGTAGTAAGTCAACCCCCTAGTTTCTCTTCTACAATGAAGTTCCTGCGTGTTTGCAATTTTTTGTGCAGGTTTAGTTCCATTTTCAATGCTTTGTCACAAAACCTAGTATGGGGGGCTGTGGGACTTTTCCAGTGCTACTTCAATAGGATTCACACAAAATTTGATTTAGAATACATTTTGTTTTATTGTACACAAAAATGTATGCAAGAAATTCTTCCACATACATATTGCCCTATTATACCCAACTAGTCAATCTGCCCCAGTTCTATACCATAGAGAATAAATATTTCCCAATCACATATGGCTGTATCATGCAACGGGGGTGGGGCATGGTTCAACATACCTTGCAGTAAAAGTAAACTGCTTCCCCAGAACCTGTGAAAGATAAGTCTGATTAGGTACAACTTACGTCAATGCCCAATTTAGGACTCTTTCACATGAACGCCCCGATTGGGTCCGCTTGCCCATTTTTCAGGTGGACCCAGTTGGAACCTCCATTCTCCTCTATGGAGAGGTGGGTGTAAACGGATATGTGTCTGTTTACACCTGCCAACATCCGATCGGCCAAAAAGGAACGGATGATGGGGATCCAATTCACCTTCCGTCCATCAGATCGCCCATTAAGGAGAGCAAGCAGCTCTGTGTCTGCTCTGCAGCAGGAGAGGGGACAAAGAGCTGTCATCCGCTTGCTCAGCGAGGATCAGCAGAGAGATCTCCCGCTGAGCAAGCGGATCCACTAAACGGATCCATCCCATGTGAAAGAGCCCTAACACTTTTTTTTTTAGATGTAACCATCAGATTATACATCATGTTATATTGTTACTTAAATGTGTGCACAACTGACAGTCCCTTAGACACATCGCCAAAAGCTTATGTCACGAACTATAGGGAGCCAGAAAAGATACATAAGGGTCCTTTCACAGAGGTGTTCCGTTTTTTTCATCAGTTCAGTCACTCTCTTTCCATGAAAAAATGGATCAGTTCACACAGGGGTGGACTGACCATTTGGAAACTCGGGCACTGCCCAAGGGCCCGGGGTCAGTAGGGGGCCCCATGAGATGCCCCTGGTACCTTTTTCATAGGCTTTTTTGAGTTTGGGCCCCATGATCCCCTATTGCCCGGAGGCCCCATGAGTTGTCAGTCCGCCCCTATCAGTTTTTCATCAGTTGACATCCTTTTTTGACATCCTTTACTAATGCAAAAACGGATCGTATGTCCATTTACATCAGTTTTCCATCGGTTTACATCCATTTTTCGTCCGTTTACATCTGTTTTTGTCCGTTTTCTTCTGTTCAAAAAATTTTTATGTTAACGGATGTGGACATTAATGGATGTAAATGGATGATCATCCATTTACATCTGCTGGTCCACAGAAATACATGGGTGTCTGTTTGTCATCCGTAAACGGACAGATGAAAAATGGACATATGGAACGCCTGTGTGAAAGGGTCCCAAAGGGGCACCCACAGAGTCAAAAAAATCCATAAAATATTTTGTGAATTTTTGATAGACTGATAATCTTTTCTTCTAATTATTAATTTTTTGTATCCAATAAAGTTCATTTTTATGATAAGAACCAGCCACAATTATTGTCACTGAACTAACCACTTTATCCCCAGGTAACCTTATTGCAGGGAACTTTTTTTTACTTCAAGAGGCACCCACAGAGCCTACAATGTGGTGCATTAATCAAATGTCAGGAAAATCTAGCACTAAAAAGGTTTTGGCTATAGATGCACTATAAGGTTAATATTTAATAATATGTATTTTATTAATTATCTAGAGCAGCTCTGTGCATTAATGAAGATGAGGACAAAAAGGAAGTGGACCAAACTCATCCAGATCCAGACAGTGGATGTCCAAAACCAGATCCGCCAGAGAATGGACTATTTGTTGTAAGATAATAAATAAAATCAAATTTTATATATTTAAAATTAACGTGATTTGTAAAATAAATAAAGGTTTTATTATCCAGCCAGAAGTGAATGATATCTTAGACAATCCATGCATTCATCATTTTTGTTTGTTCAGCCAGCAGGTTGAACGAAGAAAAAATTATTTGATTCCCCTATCCAAACATTTAATGTGGGTGATTGAAGAGGTGCGCCTGGTGTCCAGAAAAATGTCTCACTTCATGACTTTTATAGTTGTTTATTGAAGACAAAAGTATACAAGCGCATCCAATGCGTTTTGGTGGAAATTTCCTCCCCCTTCTTCAGGGCTATATTTCTTGGAGAAAGGTTAGACTCTCAGAGGGTTAAATATATTCAATCAGCGACTCTGCAGTATGCCAGTATTGTGGAGCAGAGACTGAATATATTTAACCCTCTCAGAATCCTGAATCAGGAGGAGGCAATTTCCCAAAAACACACTGGCTCCACTTAAATACTTTTATCCTCAATAAACAACTATAAAAATCATCATGTGAGGCATTTTTCTGGACACCGGGCACTCCTCCCCAATTACACAAGTGTTCCCTGCGGTAATGTTTTCATTGCCGTTATCAGAATGGTAGCAGCCCTAGACCCCAATGGAGCCTATCGCCTACCACCTACAATTGGGATATAACCCATTGGAAGCAATTCCCTTTATACTTGCCACACAGTAATCTGCCGCTAGACAGCCTCCAGTGGCACCAGTCTAGCTCTGTCTTGAACCCAAACTTGAAACATTCAATGTGGATTGGGGAATTTTCCCCACTGTGCTATTATGTTTTGGTGACAGGAATTGTTAGATCGAAGTCTGTACAATCAGGGGGCCCATGCATAGATCAACGTTCAGCCGAATTTCGATCTATGTATGGCCAGTCTTTAGAAAAGTAGGCATAGCTACCATCTTTGAGCACTGAGAAGTAGGTGGGCAAAGAGCACACCACTGCCATCCTAAGCTATCCTTATAAAAGTAGAGAGAACATACTTATCTCTCCTGCTGGACAACACTCCGATCCTGAGAAATCTTCTTGTGAAGTCCACAGAAAACCCACCACTTCCAGGAGTGCCGAGTCCTCTGCAGCTCTCGCAGACCTCCACTCATTCCAGGAGACAGTAAAAACATGAGAAGGAGGAAACGGTTGGAACTGCTTGGATCCCAGGACTCCTGGAAATGGACTTCAGGGGCCCATTTCTCAGGATCAGAGTGGTGCTAAAAGTAATAGAATCTTTGTATAATTTTCTTATAAAATAATGGAAAATAATACGTTAGTAGTAAAATAATAATATTTATTATAAAAAAATGCATGTAATAATAAAATAACAATCTTAAACAAGTAACAAATGTAAAAAATACACACATTTCAATAAAATATTTTTTTCTGAACAGAATGAAAAGACTTGGTACAAAGTAGCCGAGGAGATTGAAATAATGTGCTTCTCTGGCTATGAACTATCTGGGTATCAATTCCTGAGATGTCTTCCAGATGGAACATGGAAGCAGGAACACGTCAAGTGTGTTAGTAAGTGTTTTATTTTCTTGTCCAGGATTTATTGTATTCATTTATATGGAAATGTAGACCATATTAAGAAGACTTACAGTACATTGTACATGTTTATATGCTTTTACTGCTATTTCATTAATCCATGGCTCAAAATTTACAGTTAAGTAGAATGAATGGATTTGTAGAAGAGTGAATGATGCTCCCCATACAGGAAAAACTCAGATAACATACTAGTTACAAATATATCATTCTAATATATGAAAGAGGCACTGCCACAATCAAGGCACATTGACACCAATAAATGTAGCAAAGGAGGACACGGCAGGGGGGATCCCACTAGAGTTAGACTACTGTAGTGGCGATTAGGGAAAGGCTTCCCTCAGTAGCTGGTCTTTCAGAGAAGCTACATGCTATTAGACTCTGGCTTGGCTACCCGTACGTCAGTTTTGACATTGGAAGGCCTCTCACCTATCCCTATTGAAGAGACACTGTCACTATGCACAACATTCAAGGCACATTAATAGTAATAACTATAGCAAAGGAAGACTCAGGGTAATGTCACACTTGTAATACTATTGCAATAATTTACCAGTGATCCCCACTGACAACGCATCAGAAATAGCATCACTTTGCACAGCAAAATACTCAGTACCACATGTTGCTTCCTTGCTGTCTGAATGAGCAAACTGTTTTCGGTGATTGACGTTCTGCAGCATTTCCATCAGCAACAAAGCAGCAACCATAGAGGGAGTTACTTGTGGAACCAGGTCGGTATATACTAGGCGTGTCCAACCTTTTTTACTTTCCTGTGCCACACTGAAAGAAGAGGAATGGTCTTGGATCACACATAAAATACACTAACAATAAGGATTGTTGATGAGCAGAAAACGTCGGGCAGATCATTGATATAGATAATGTACCTATCTGAGTGATAAAACTTTGTTTTTTTTAAATATTTTTTATGATAAAAGTACAAGAAGGCAACATAAAACTAGTGTGATATTTGACTTTGCTTTTGATAAACGAATGCATCAATCTCTGACTTGATAGATATAGTAGCAATTCTCAAGGTGCTCATCAGATATTTTGGTTCTGATTTTGCCTTTCGAGGGTATCCTTGATAATAGTTGCTCACAAATATAGGTGCCATCGAAAACTGATGAAATGAATAGGGCGTGATTGTAAAGAGTGTGATATATTTCTCTGGGAAGATAAAACTTACAAAAGTCCAGTAAAAAGACACTGTCAATTTTTCTTCTTTGGCCACGTGTTCGCTAAGTGTGAATGCATTTTTACAAAAACATTTCTAAAAAATGAACATTTTTTTAAGTAAGTTGGTGATTTTGATTTTTGATGATCATAACATTTTTTAAGTATGTTTATGATTTTTGATGATCATAGCTATCTTGGGTCGCATGTGGTCCATGGGTTGCAGGTTGTACATCACCTGTATATACCCTGTCTGCATAGTGATCCAGTTGCTGGTGACATGTCAGTGGAAAAATGAACCCACTTATACCAGTTCATATTTATATTTCCCTATAAATCTTGGATACTACATTACATATCTTTTGACAGCCACTGCTTGCTGACTGCCTCACATAGCAATACATTGGCAAAGTGGCCCACCTGCGCTAGATCATGTATCTAATACATGATTCAGCTCTTTCGGGTAGGAGGCACGCAACTGTGCTGTAATTAGTCACAGAACAAGCCGATCAGCGGGTCTCAACCAATGACTGGGAAGACAGGACAGAGCTCTGTGATTGTAAACAACACAGAGTTCTGTCCTGACAGCAGGGAGGAGCTGTTTTGTGTTTCAGGGAGTAAAAACCTGCACATCTCTTAGTAAAAACAGCACACCAAGCACTGTTAGGCACACAGTTAACTCTTTGATTGCCCCTAGATGTTAATCCATTCCCAGCCAGTGTCATTATTACAGTGTCAGTGTATATTAATAGCACTGATCACTGTATTAGTGTAACTGGTTCACACAAAGTGTCAAAACTGTCAGTTAGTATCAGATTTCCCACCATACTATCACAGTCCCGCTATAAGTTGCTGATCACTGCCATTACTAGTATAAAAATAAATAAATACAAATTCCAGTGTATATATAACATAGTTTGTAGTTGCTATAACCTTCACGCAAACCAATCAATATACACTTATTTGGATTTTATCAACCAAAAGTATGTAGCAGAATAAAGTTTTGCATATATATTTATAAATTAAAATCCTTATTAGATATGTTTTATAGCAGAAAGTAAAAAAAATGCTTTTTCAAAATTTTCGGTCTTTTTTTTTATATATAATAAAAAACCCAGGGGTGATCAAATGTGACCAAAAAGCTCTATTTGTGTGAATCAAATGATATAAATTTCCTTTGGGTACAGTGTTGCATGGCCATGCAATTGTCAGTTACAATTACACAGTGCTGAATAGCAAAAAATGGTCTGGTCATGAAGGAGGTAAAACATTCCTGAGGGCAAGTGGTTAACATATATTATATATTTTCCTCTTCTACAATGATAAAGGTAAAAACTTGACTGGTATGTCCCCCATAGGTGTCTCACCCCTTCTCGTACAACTCCAAGCTGACTTGACAGGTACACCAAGAGGCACCCTTTCATCAGTTATTAAACATTTAAAACTTGCTGTAAATTTCTCTTTCAGGAACAACATGTTCCAGGCCAGCAGCCACTCATGA